CCCACCTTCCTCAGGTCCCCACCGTTCTCAGCTTCCTGGACGAGAAAGCAGCCGCACCCCGGGGCTGAGCACCGGGCACACAGGGAAATTCCGAGCATTGCCTCCTGACACTTCCCTTAAGAGGAGTGTGCAGCTCCAGGTGACAGGGTTCAGGCTGCCCCTGGGAACCGGTGAGACCAGGCCGGACTGAGGTGGGAGTGGCTGGGATGGGCAGCAGGTGTGGTTGGCTGCCACCCAAGCCACCATTTCATGGACAAAAATGTGTGACCACTGGTAAATAAGGAAATGAAGCCGCCGCAGCTTTGCGTGACGGGTGACCCAAATGCTGAATGGGGAGGGGTGGGGGTGACTGAACCCCTTTCTCCCTTTAACTGATGGGGGAATGGAGGCCCATTCAGAGGATGGAGTGGCCCAGGTAACAGGAGAAGGACCTGGGCTGGGTCCCAGGAGCTGCCCTGCAGGAGACTGGGTGGGGGGGGCTCTGCGTCTGGGGGGCGGGGCTCCCTCCTGCAGGACCCCCAGGCTATGGGTGAGCCAGGGCAGGTGGCGCCTGCTGTAGGATGTGGGGGATGCAGCTCTCATGGTCACAAGCCCTGGAGGCCTTTCTCCAAGGCACACACTGGGGCGTCCCTATGGGACAGGCCTCGGAGCTCCCGCCGGCCATGCTCCGTGACCTCTGACCCAGCACCCTCACTGAGCTGGGCTGGGGGAGGGGCGGGGAACCCGCCCCACACCTGGCCAGTGTCGTCAGGGCATGGCGTGCGTGCCCCCACCCTGCCCCCACGCGAGGCGCCTGCTCCGCTGTCCCTCCCCACTCTCTCTGGTATTCATTTCTTTTGGGGAAAGGGACAACTGAGGGCCCTGGTGCCCCCGCCTCCTCAGGCCCCAGCCCCCTGAGCCCGTGGGACATTCTTTCCTGGGTGGTCCGGGCATGGGCTCTGGGCTGGGCCGTCTGGGATCTGAGTGGGGCAGGAAGTGGGAAGCGCCTCAGCTGGAATGTGCTGTCCCCACCCCTCAGGGTCCCGAGTGGCATCCAGGGTGGCAGGCTCGTCCGCTGGCAGCCGTCGGGTGCTGGCACCCAGCCCGCTCCTCCCCCCACCCCAGGCCTTCAGGGGCACTTCGTGTTTGGTCCTGCCACAGGCCTGTCCTTCGCCGTCCCCGCCCTCCTGCGAGGTGTGTCTGAGACGGGGATCCCTAGGCCCAGAGGGGCCCTCAGGGAGGCTTGGGAGGAGCACAGGGGATGGGGAGAGGGCAGGTGTGACCAGGAGTCCAGCCTCAGCCAGTCCCTCTTGGGCTCTGGAACACAGGTGCCAGCACAGGCTGCCCCCAGGAGCCGGCCTCACTGGCTCCAGGCCGCTGGGTCGGTGGGACTCACCTCCCAGCAACGCTGAGCCAAGCGGCCCGGCAGTAGACTGTCCTCTGCAGAGGGACTGCCATGACCCGTCAGCACCTGGGGGTGGGGAGGGGCGTGAGTCCAGGAGGAGACACTGAGGGTGCCCGGGCACTGGGGTACAGACTGGCAGAGAAGCCACTCAGAGAAGTGTTAGAGACCCTTCCAGCAGAGAACTACCAGGTCTCAGAGCTGCCTGGGGCGTGGGTGGGGGGTCGCTGGAGGTGGTTCAGGAAGTTACGCGGCTTCTTGCTGTGCAGAACCCCCCTCCCTTGCTGAGGCAAGGGGCCCTCAGACCCAGCCCATGGGATGTCGCCTGGGACCCTGGCCGAGGGGCCCCGCTGGGGGCAGAGCTGCTCCTGTTGGAGGCGGTCTGTCCTGGGCCAGCTGCCGCCACCCCTCCTCCAGCAGAAAGGGCAGCCGGGGGGACACAGTCGCAATGGTAGGACAAAGCCACAGCCTCAGCAAGGCTTGGGCAGGTGTGGCCATCGGGCGTGGGCACCAAGGTGCCCAGGAGAGGCAGACAGGGCAGTGAGGATGTTTCGGACCTGAGTGCCTAAAGGAACAACTCAGTGCAGGTGCTGCTGTCACCGTGGAGGCTGCAAACTTGCAGAGCCGACTGGCATTCTGTGGGATCGGTCAGCCCGGGCTGCTGTGCAACCAATACCGCGGGCCGGTGGCTGAACCAACAGAGTCCTCAGGCTGAAGCCCAAGGCCGAGCTGCGGGCAGGGCCAGGGCGGGTTCCTGCTGAGGCCTCTGTCCTTGGCGTGCGGACCCCTCCCCCTTGCCGTGACCTCACGCAGCGTCTTCTCTGGGGGGGAATCCCTGATGTCTCGTCCATGAGGACCAGTCTTACCAGCTCAGCGCCCACCCGAATGGCCTCGTTTTATCCTGCCAGCTCTTTAAAGGCTCCCATCTCCAAACAGTCACAGTCTGAGGTGCTGGGGATTAGGGTTTCCACACACGGATTTCGGGGTCTTGATTCTGCCCATGGCGGTTGTGCGGCATGTGTCAGGCCAGCCCCATCCCTGGCTGAGCTTCCGGGATGGACACTGGCACCGGGATAGAGGGGCCAGCAGGCGGGCGGTGGGGAGGGCGGTGCGGGCGGGTGGGCGGCAGTGGCGGCCCCGGAGCGTCCTGGCAGAGGCCGAGCCAGGCGCAGATGAGGGCTCAGCAAAGCGGGTCATTGCAGGTTCTCTGAATGCGGACAGCCTCAGGGAGGAGGAGCCCGGCCTGTCCCTGCTGGTGTCCAGCGGCTGGAGAACCATCCGTTTCACCATCGTGCCTGTGGTGCGGAGAAAGCACGGGGTGCCCGCCCTGGAGGGGGCCCAGCTGACGCCCGGCTTCCCTGAAGGCAGCTTGAACAGGATCATGGGCCAAGGGGTGGCCCTTGTGCCAGCTAGCGCCCAGCTCTGGAGGTAGGCAGCCCCATGTGGGCTGGCGGGGTCCTGGGGAGCCAGCAGGAAGGGGCGCCAGCCCCAAGCTCCCTTTGCTCGAAGATGGAGGTGCTGCGGGGTTCCCTGCCCGCTTCTGCCCATGGGCATCTGTGCCACACTGACTTTATGGGGTCTCAGGGGCATTTGGGACCTGGCCAGGGTGGTCGCTCCTTGCTGTTAGCGTCCCCTCTCAGAGCTGGGGGAGTGGGCTGTGCCGTCTGCCGCCCTGGGAGTGGGCCAGTGTCTGGTTGTGAGGAGAAGCCCGAAAGTGTGGGACCCTTTGTTACCCAGCCCAGTGCCTTTGCTTTAGGTGGGAAAGCAGCAAAGAGGACAGGTGACTTGTCCAGGTCGCAGTGGGTTCCCAGAGCAGCGAGGGGGGCCCCCTCCCGGTGAGGGTGGTCGGAGTCTGAGGAGATGAATCAGCGCTGGGGCTTTGCTCCAGTCTCCATCTGGCTGCTCTCCCCAGGTTAGCGTCCCCTCCCTTGCCTGTCCCGGGAGCCCCAGCAGCACCTCCTCGCCTCCTCTGGTCCCCCAGCCTCTGCCTCAGCAGGTTGCAAGGTGAGGGTGGGGGCCTCTGCTGGGACGCGGAGGCCCGCGTGGGTTCTGTATGCAGCGGGAGGCAGTGGGGGCATCAGGCAGAGGCTGAGTGCCCCTGGAGCCCCGTCCAGACCTGACACTGCTTACCAGTGGCTCGCCTGGCCGGGGTGACGTACGCTGCCTGCCAGCTCTCACGCCTGGGGTGACACGTTAGGAATGTGACCCTGCTAAAGTAAGCAGGGGCTGCTCTTATAGCTAACTATTGGAAGTCGATGAATTCCGAAAGCTGGCTGTGCCCATCTCTGGAGGTGTGTGCTGCCCTGCGCTGTGGGCGCTGCTGGGGAGCAGACATTCTGAGCCCGGTGGGGTCCTGTAGCTGCAGGCTGGAGATGTCACCTCAGCCAGGCTGGGGTGGCCCCACTCACACCCCCGCCAGGGACCATGAGCTCCCGCTCCACCCTGGGCCGGTGAGACGGCACCTTCCTGTCCCCACAAAAAGGTCCGGCTGACTAACAAAGGTCACCCTAATAAATTTAATAAAAATTAAAACAGAAAAGTGCGCAGCTGGCCTGGAGGCTCCTCTGGCCCTCCGTGCTCCCGGCCTGGCGTCTAGTTTAAGTGAAAACCAGCTGTTTCACATTTGATCGCCCTGTGTGTGCAATTCCTGAGAAACTTGTGGGAGTTTCTGGGTGCACCGGACCCCCTGTCAGTCACGGCCTGGGCCGTCCCCATCCTTGGGAGGCCACAGAAGCCCCGGGCTTCCTTTTTGGGGAGAAGCTGTGGCTGCAGTGTGCCTTGGACGCCGGGCGGGCGCCAGGCAGAGGCCTCAACGCTGACCACGAGTCACCTGTGTGTCTGTCTGGGCTCCAGGGTCTCCACTGACTACCTGCTCACCAGGCTGCTCGATGTCCTGGGCTCCCTCCAGGGCCACCGCCTCGACAGCCTCTCCATCCTGGACCGGGTCAACCACGAGAGCTGGCGCGACGGCGGCCAGAGCCCCGGCCTGAGCTTCGGCCACCTGAAGGTACGTGTTTGTGTGTGTTGGGGGGCTCAGTGGGCCTGCCCGTCTCTGCTGGGCCCACGTCTGTAAACAGGAGTCCCACAGCAGAGGCACCCAGGTTGAACCCTGTGCCAGCTCTGACTGATGGACAGCCTGTGGCCTGGCGAGCTCCACATGTCCTCGCCAGGGTTCCCAGGAAGCGAGGCCCCGGCTCACAGGTGACATCTGGCTGCAGAGTGCGGCGGCACCTCAGACCCACGTTTGCCATCCCAGGGCTAATGACCTCGGGGGTCCGCCTGGCCTGGCCTGGGAGCTCACTCTTGGAGTTGGGTCACACAGAGCCAGCGCTGCCACCAGCCCATGTCAGCCGTGGGGGCCCCTGCCCTCCGTCCAGCCTGGAGTCTGTGAATGTTACCGGTCGGGGTTCCCCATCCGGGTGGAACCGGCCCAGGCCAGGCGCCCCTCCTCTGCTGCTCACGGGCTGCTGTCTCTCCACTGGAACCTTGTCCCCCTCGGGCTCTGTAATGTCAGGTGCTGAGAGGAGCAAGGCAGGACAGGGCCCTGGGCTCTGGAGGGCAGTGAGGCGAAGCACGTGGGCCGTGGAGTCTGGGGCCTCTGCCCGGAGTGGGCAGGTTCGCAGCCTGTGGACAGGGGTGGGGGTTAAGGGAAAGGTGGCCTGATCTGGCTCCGGAGAACACTCTGCCACGAGTCCCCGTGTGGCCTCAGGCCACTCATCACCCCTCTCCGGACTCCATTCCCGCCCCTGAGGGGGTACCAACTTCTGAGGGATTTCCTGGGAGGCTGACGCACTAGCTCCTGAAGTGAATTAAGGGCGAGGGGGGCCAGCAGAGGGAGAGGAGCATGAGGACATAGCAAAGCACCTGTGTGACAGGAGCGAGTCCGTGGCTGGGGGACTCGGGGCCAGGGGGGGACAGGGGCCTGGGGTGGCTCACACTGTGGCTTCCAGGCGAATGCCGTGCCCAGATGTCCTGCGCCACAGGGCAGGGCTCTTTGGGACGGGCTGCAGGGCATAAGCAGTAGTGCGATGGGGATGGGACATGAGGAAGGGTAGGGAGCACGGGGTCCCCTGAGAAGGACCCTGGTGCCTGCTGTGGGGGTGCCCTGGAGGGGAGGCTGGGGTGGTGTCCTGCCGACCTTGGACTCAGCGCAGGGTCCTGGGGAGTCCAGAGAGGCACTGGGTGGGGACAGCAGGTGGGGAGGGGCTGGGACTCATGCTGGGACACCCCCGGGGAGGTGCGGAGGGTGGGACAGGAGTGCGTGAGGCACAGAGGCTTCCAGAGTTGGGGTGCAGGGTGGGGTGAGGGGCAGGGGTGGGCCTGAGTGCCGTCCTGTCCCTCTGCAGACGGTGCTGCTGTGGGCCTCGGTGCTGTTCCCGGCGCCCGAGGACTGGGCGGAGCTGCAGGGCGCCGTGTACCGCCTGCTGGTGGTGCTCCTGTGCTGCCTGGCCACCGGCAACCTGCCCCACTTCCTGCGCCCCACGCAGAACTTGCTGCGGGATGCTGGCCTGGACCTCCACGCCCTCTACCGGCGCGTGGAGCTCTTTGCGAGCCAGCCCGAGGCGGCCCTGCGTATCCATGTCACCCACCTGGGCCGCAGCCCCCCGCCGCGCCTCAGCAATGGGGTCAGGGCGCTGCTGCAGCTGCCTGCCAGCGACCCCGCCTACTGGGCTACTGCCTACTTCGACGTCTTACTGGACAAGGTGGGTGCGGCTGGCAGAGGGCACCGGGCAAGCCCAGGGTCACGTGTGGGTGGGGACAGAGTCCTGGTCCGCTCCCCCAGGGGTCAGGAGCTGGAGGAGGGCTGGGGCAGGTCAGGCCTCTGGACAGTGAGAGCATCTATGGGGAGGATGTGCTATCTGGGGGTCAGATGGGCCATGAGTGCCCTCGGCCGGCAGTGGCCCCACAGGCCCAGGGCCGCTGTCTGGGAATCAGGGAAGCACGTCCAAGCCTGCCCCCTTCCCCCCAGAGTGACCCCAAACCCACACTGAGAGCACTCAGAGCCCCAGCAATTGCCCCAGGCTCCATTCATCATGGAGGGGTCTGGCCCCCCAAGCTCACAGGCCAGTTTCCTGCTGCCCCCCTGGGCCCAGAAGCCCCATGCCGCCTACCCTGGGACCTGGGACTGTTTGGGTGCTCCACAGCTGCACCTCTTGAGCCCCAAGGCTCTGCCAGCTCTGCTAGCCCTCCCCTCCGCACCCCAAGAGAGCCCACCCCTGCTCCTCCCCCAAGGGCCAAGCCCACCCTCACCCCAAAGAGCCAACATGGTGTCCTTCCAGGACACATCGGGGCTGGGGTGGTGGTAGCAGCAGGGGTGACACTCAGCCCTCAACAAGCCCCTGGTGGGTGCCTTCTCTGTGTCAGGCCCACCCAGGGACACCTGCATGTGAGGAAGGCTGTGGGTGGGGGGTCATGGCCGGGGAGAGGTCCTGGGCGGGTCCACCCGCAGGAGGACCACCCAGGCAGAGACCCAGAGGCAGGAGGGCCAGGCAGTCAGGGAGCGAGTGTTGTTTCACTGTGTCCGGGGCCCTGTGATAGGCTCCCCGATGTCTCTGTGACCCCTTGTCCCCGCCCACCCCCAGTTCCAGGTCTTCCACATCCAGGATAAGGATCGGATCTCCGCCATGCAAAGCATCTTCCGGAAGACCAAGACTCTGGGAGGCGAGGACCACTGAGCGGGCTGCCCGGACTGTGCCACCTGCTGCGCCAGCACACGGAGGCCCCCAGGACATTGGCAGATGGGAACGGGCTTCACCTGGAGCCGGTGGTGGGTGGTGGGTGGTGGAGGGACTTTGTCCCCAGGTACCGCCTCAGACAGACAGTCCAGGAGACGGCCTCATGGGATCTAAGCGTGCCGGACAGCAGGCTGCCTGGAACAGCGGCCTGGTCTCCAGGGGCAGGGGCCTGGGATGAGGTGCTGTGTACTTCATGTTACGGGTATCGGTCCGTCCTGCGTGAGACCATCAAGGCTGAAAACCAAGTGTCTGCGCGAGCCCTGGGACCTGAGGGCGCGTCCCCCCACCAGTGCCACGTGCTACTCCGTGTGATGAAATGTATATCTGACCCTGAATAAATGAATGCATGTCTAAGGAATGAGAGGTGTTTGCACCTTGCCCCGCCTACCACGAAGAACAAGGGCTGGCGGCCTCCATGGAGTTTGGAGATGGCATCTCCTCCTTGGAAATGTCCGTTTACTGCGTGGCTCAGATGTTGTTAGTTCTGAGTGGGCCGGAGCACAGGTGGGCTTCCAGCAGGGTCATGGGCTGGGGTGCCCGTGGCACAAAGGGCACCAGGTGGCTTTTCTGGAAAACTCTAATGCGGAAGCTGAGGCCGTGTCGCAGAGAACTATTGGCTGTTCAAAGCGAAGCGTCTGGCAGGACGGGGGCCGGCCAGG